TTCATCAAGTGATTCTGAATCATCAACTGGAATGAATGAAATAACTATGCCTAAAATATGTGCTGATAAATTTACTAAAACATCACCATTGTCAATTAATACTACTATTAAGCATGCAGAGAAGGTAGATTATACATCAAATCCTTCAAAATCTTCATCAAGTGATTCTGAATCATCAGTTGGAATGAATGAAATAACTATGCCTAAAATATGTGCTGATAAATTTATTAAAACATCACCATCGTCAATTAATACTACTATTAAGCATGCAGAGAAGGTAGATTATACATCAAATCCTTCAAAATCTTCATCAAGTGATTCTGAATCATCAACTGGAATGAATGAAATAACTACGCCTAAAATATGTGTTGATAAATTTACTAAAACATCACCATTGTCAATTAATACCGTTATTAAGCATGCAGAGAAGGTAGATCATACAGAAAGTCTTTCAAATGTTTCTTTAAGTGATTCTGAGTCTTCAGTTGAAATGATAACTAGCTCTAAAATATGCGATGATGAATCTACTAACAAATCATCTGAAAAGACCAATACCATTATTAAACATGATGATAATTCTGATAGTTCTTCAGAATTGTCATCAAGTGATTCTGAATTTTCTTCTAAAATTAAAATTATGCTATCCAACTTTAAAGAAAACAATAAAAATAAATCTAGAACATCATTACATATTCACAACAGCGTTAATAATAATAAACATATTGAAAGTCCATTATTTAGTTCTACTCCTATTTTAAATTCTGAACATTCTGTAAATAGTATCAATTTAATTAGAAATAAGCAACTAGAACAATTAAAAAAACATTTGATTAAAAATAGTAGCAAAAAACAAAAATCATTGGATTCTATTAAAGTACCTCATCAGTTTTCTAAGGATAAACTTTCTCAGTCTCTAAATATTATAAAAAATACTAAAAATAATGATAACAATGATAACCAACCTAAAGTAATCGCTAATTTGGTTAATAGTAATGAAAAATCAGGTAGTGCTAATAAAATAAATTATAATAATAGTCGGCAAGGTGATTCTGATACGAGTAAAAGTGAACTTGGACAAAAAAACATCTCGGTTAATAATTCATTTTTGAAGAAACCTGAAAAATCTATCAAAATAATTAAAAAACATAAACAATCAAATAAAATAGGAAATGCAATTTTAAATTCAATTAATACAAATAAGATGAAATTTAATGCAAATATTACCAACAATTTGATTGATTCTAATAATGAATATAGTAAAGACAGCAAAGAAGAAAATACAGTGTATACTCAACAGAAACATGATTTAAATAAAGAAATACTTAATTGTAAAAATTCAAATGAAGAAGCAATTAAAAATTCGTTGACATTAAGTTTGAGTACTAAGAATATTAAAAAAAAAGATATTGTCCAAAAGAAAGATACAAATGATTGTAAAAACCAAATAAATAATAAAATATTTAAAGAAAGTTTGAATACTACATTATCAATTATATCTGATTCGGATAGTAATTGTAGTAGTGATCTTAAACTACCTACAAAAGATTTAAGCCATACAACTGATTTTAATGAAAAAATTGAAAATGAAACAAGTAGCTCTGATGATGAAATTTATTCAAAACTTAGACAAAATATATCAAAAACACAAATAAATACAAACCATTTGAATGAAAAACCTAAAAGTCAATCACTTCCTACTAATAAAATGTGTTATAGTACCGATGAAAGTGATTCGTCATCTAAATTTTTTTGTAACACATCTAAGTTATCATCAAATTTAATTAAACCTAATATAACAAAACAAAACTCTATTAATGTATCAGAAACTGATAGCTGTAAAAAAAGCAGTAATAATAATTTGTTATCAAATGAAAATATACTTAAAAAAGATAAAAAGAAAAAAAAAGTTAATGTAAAATCTGTATTTTCTCCCAATAAAATGGATATTATTAAACATATTTTGGATGAAAGTTCTAGTAGTAATAATGAGGTTACGGCTCTTAAAAACAAAACTAATGATAAGAAACAGGTCAATGAAAAAAAATCTACTAAAAAATCAACTTTAAATGTATCAAAACTAAATAAAAATAATGAAGTATTAAATAAAGAAATTTCAAATCCATTTTTAAAAGTATATTCTACAAATGTGACAAGCTCAAGTTCTGATGATGAATTAGATATAAGTTTGATGAAACCAAAAAGAAAATCATCTGGGAATAAAAATATTCCATTAGTAAATGAAGAAAAGAAAAAAAATATTTTAATAAATCAAGTTTTGACTTCTATGAAACGTAAAAATAAAAAACAAAAGTTATCTGTTTCGCAGACTAACTTAAATGCATCTGTAAGTAATAACAAACATTTGAAAAATGACAAAATAACAAAAGATAAAACTTTACTTGGTAGTAAAAACAAAAAAGATGTCTTAGATAACTTCAACATTTCTACTGAAAGACCAAAACTTAATGTGTCAAGTTTAAATATTTACCAAAAAGTTAATTCATCCCAATTAAATACACAACTTTCATCTGATGAAAATACTGACAATGAGGAAGACGTTATAAAAAAAATTTTAGAAAAACGAAAATTTAAAAAAGCTAAAAAAGCCAATTCACTTGAGCAAACTATGAAAAGTAATACCCAAACAGAATTAAATGAAAAAAAACAGAGTGAAGTTCAAGAAAAATTGTATACGAAATCTAAATCTCAAAAGATGTCAATGACAGATGAAATAAAGAGTAATGATATGAAAAAAAAGAAGAAGAAAAAAAGAGAAACTAAAGATATGCTCCTAGATAGTATAATAAGTGCTTTTGATGATTCTTTAAGTGATCAACCCCCTTCAAAAAAGAGAAAAAAAGATCATAATTTGACCATTGAATCATATGATTATAATGATAAAAATTCTGATGGAAATTTATCAGAGGTTAAGATAAAGAAAAAGAAAAAATCCAAACATAAAGAAGATGTTAACTTAAGTGATTTAACTGTTAAAGATAAAAAAAAACAACACAGTTTGTTGTTAGAATCTGTGTCAAAAAATAATCTAGCAAATGAAGACAATACAATTGTAAAAGTAACTAAAAAAAAAAAAGTTAAAAACAATCCTGTTGTAAGTGAAACTCAAAGCATTATCACTCACAAACACAGTGAAATAGATGATAAACTGGAAGATAAAAATGTAAAAAATATTAAATTAAATAAGAAAAAGACTAATGAACTTTTGGAAAGTCAAATGAAAAGTTTTATGTTGACTCAAGATAATTCACATTTAGATAATTTATATAATTTACTAAGCGTACATTTAAATAATTCTTAAGTTAGATCTATTTTTTATATTGAATTAACTATGCTGATGTTTTATGTATAGCATTAAATATTTGATTGAAATGTCATTTTTAACATTGAATAATAAACCAAAAGGATAAAAAAAAATATTTAAGTGTATTTATAATAAGATATGTTTATGGTTATAAATTTATAATAAAAAAAATAATTATTTTAAATATTTTATTTTAATTACAGCTTATTATAGTTATATAAATCAAAACTGATTTTTTTTGTAAATTTATTGTTAAATGTTTTAATTGTTATTGTCATAACCAAGATAATAATTATGTACTATTGAAATATGTCATATATTTCACCATTGTTTTATTGTAACTAACACTGATCAAATTGATTACATGTACTCAGGTTAAATCATTAATACCTTATTGTACTATGCTTCATTATTTATCACTTTTTAATACAGACCAATGTTAATACTCAGTAAAAACAATTGATTCCTATACATTCTAAAAAATTGTAATATTTACATAATATTGTCTTGTTGAAATTGTTATGGTTTTTATTAAAATATATTCAAATTTGAATAAAAACATGTTTTATATATAAGATAACAGAACTTGTCCACATCACATAATATACCTACGTGGAAACTTTTAACGAATATTAGGCGTGCACACTACACGCGCATCGTGTACGTGATCGTGTATATTGCGTTTGGGCGTGCTAGACCTATCTTCGTAGTTTGTAATCTATAGCACAGCTAATGCTGATGCTGAGTTGAGGGCCAAAGGTGTTCAAAATCTTGTCGATACAAACCGTGCAACGTTTTAGCATCTTGTTGTTTATGAATTTATAATCTTATAGTCAGTGCTTGATGTGGGTGGACGGAATCCCCCTTCTTTTTTAATTTTTTTTTAGCGTACCTCTTCTATTTGCCCCCACGGTAATGTTACGGTTAATTTTGTGTGGAACGCTTGTTTATCAAACATCCGATGAGTCCCCCTTCTATTTTTTTTCAAAATCAAGCACTGCTTATAGTATAGTATAGGCACATACTTGAACGTTCAAAACGGCACTAAAATCAGTTGCCTAGTCGTAGAATGTAATTCAGGTTCTTACTCTGCGATCATCGGACAATCAAAACAATATACACCAATAGGAATTAATTCAAAGGAATTGTGTTCGTTAAAGTGCGTTTATTGTAATGTGCTATCGTACGGGCGGAGCAATAAACGCCAAACGTATAATATTATTACGGTGTTCGAAATGTCTGCGATTGCACAGACGTGGCGATGGCCGACGATCTACGAGAATTCTATCTACACACGGGGGCAAATAAGGCTATTTTATGTTACCGGGAATTGAATTCAAGGGACCAAAGGGTCTATATTCTAATAGTCTTATATTATTTTATTTTAATATAAAATTCGTTAGTCACAAATTTATTATTAATACACACACACACATATATATATATACATTATTTTTTTTAATACATTGGTATGTGCAGCCATCTTATCAATAATATCCTCAAGGACAACAATTTTAGTTTACATTTCTTTTTCAATACTCAATTAACATTAAACTCTCTAAATGCTATTGTGACATTGAATTTCTAAGATAATTTTTTACATGCTTAAGTTTTAAAAAACTTAGTTCAATCCTACTTGAGTGATTAAAAACGTAAATAATAATTTAAGTGCGAAATAAAGAGCTGGATAAGCATTACTAAATAAATTATAATACTAACTATTACATTAAAACGACAAACCGCATAGCATTTATCCTTTGTTTCCTAAATTCGTAATCGACGGTATTCACATTTTCTTACCACAATCATACTCTAAAAATAGATGATATTACAATATTATAATATCAGTAATATATACATTATCCATAATACACATATTATAGAAGCGTACCATATATTATAATTGACGAAAATGTAAATGTTTTTATTTCATTTTTAATTATAAACCAAATACCAATAAGGCAATAAAATAAACCGTTTCCAAATCATGTAGAGCAGCGTCGGGTTACCCTACAGGCAAAACAATCAGGTGATTGGAGCGGCAAATTTGTTAGGGCGGCAAATTTGCCGCACTTAAGAAAAAAAATGTATTTATAAAATTATATTATAATGTCTTATGACTTATGAGTTATGACTGTAATGAGTATTAGCAACTAGGTTATTAACTCAGTAAGATACTGGAATGGTTTCGGTGAATGCGATCAACTGTAATTGTTATTATTAGCGAATCTATGTTTTTTTCAGAAACCGTTTATATTAAATATATGTTTACACATATTATACATTATGGCGATAGCCGATACGACGTTGTTTTTGTCAATTATATTTTATTTTCGTGATTCTATTACTTACAATTACAAAGAATGTTATACATATTCTTTAATCCTTATCATAACATTATTCTGCTTATTAGTATACCGCGACACTGAGACAGTGCAACTTGTGTACGAGAGTCTTCATTCATTTTTATTATGATTCTTCAAATTATTACATCACAATGAGTGATGGTAGAAAAAGGAAAAGTGGTGCAAGATACAAAAAGCTGCGAGAAGAGCATGAAGAAAAAGAGAAAAGGGTTATTCAAAAAATAAGATAACTCGATACTTTTTTCACAAATTTAAAAACAGGTAAAAACAATTTACTCTATATTTCTATAAAATAAATATATTTTTTTTTAAATTTTTGATGACACGTTCACTGCGGTTAGGTTAACCTGCCAATAAATTGGCGTCATCCGCACAATATTTTACAATACAATGTGTCTCAGCCGACGCTTGAATAAAATAATATTAATTAAGTTATATCAATTATATAATATCGCCCTCGTACCACTTCGCCATGGATCGATTCGTAGTCGCAAATCGACGTTTTTTTTTATAATATTAGATGTTTTAAAATTATTTAAGATATCACAGTCACGAATCGCAGTTGTATTATTTTTGTGCGCCAATCGGCATTTCTTATTTGTATTATTGTACCTAACTCCGTGGTGTTTAGTGTGCGAAATTATATTATAATATATTAATATAGGTAATATAGGAATGTGTATTGTTATTGTAAGATAATCCGCAATGAACGTTTCAAAAATAAATATTAAATAGTTTGGCTCTTCTTTGCATCGAATCTAAATTAGTGTCGACAATTGATTTTCAAGACCTAATCGAAACATTCGCTAACCTAAAAAGCCGAACAAAAATATTTTAATAAATTTATTATATAATATTTGACGATTGTATTAAATTTAATATAATAAAGAATTATTAAACTAACAAAGTATTTCTATATTATGTATTTTGTTTTAAAAAAAAGTATAAAATGAAAGGGCGGCAAATACTCTGCTTGTAAGCGGCAAATTGCTTAATCCGCCACTGATGTAGAGAGTTCGATATTATTATTATTATATCGTTGATAACATTTA